AGTTTATTATCCTCGTCCCACTAATTCCCAGCTAAATGTTGGAGCACTATGCAACTTTATTGATACAAGTACACCTATATATAAATGTTTCATATACATGCTAGAGGTTTAGGAAGATCCATGATACTCAAGACGGTTGAATTAACACGTTTTTCATCAAAATTGTCTATATATGGTTAAGATCTTTGCAGTTGAAGATGATTTTGCAACGAAAGGTAAGACTGATTGCTTTGATATGGCACGGGGGGTACTATTAGTCTATAGAGACTGCCACTATTACAACCCACAAAGGAACGTTAACAAGGCCTACCATACTTGCTGATGGCAATCACCGGGTGACAATTAAATCGGTAGGGCAACGGAGCTCAAGGAGAGGAGTACATGTTTGTATTGACATAACACTTACTTGACCCTACTCTCTATTTTATTTCATTAATATGAATGAGTTAAGAGTTGAGCTAACATAAACTGTAGCCATGATGTAATTTAGAATGAGATTGGGCACTCGAATACCTTTGTAATGCACATGATCAACATTTCAAACACTGGACCATCAGATTTGTCACAAAAAAATATGGGTAAACTTTTTATGAAAGTGTGCCTCAGTTATATACTACCTTTGTAAACAAATGTAAGACGTTTCCTATATTTGTTTACAGAAGGACTATTTTTTAGATATTTCAGAAACATAGAACTAGTATGTATTGCAGATTATGTACATGTTAAAAATCAAGTTCAATATAAGCAAAAAAAATCAAGCTCAATAATTTAAAACTTTGACTGTAATTAATCTGACATGAAACATATACTTTCATGATACTTTGTTTTTCATTTCTTTTGAAGCATAGTACTAGAAAAAATGGTATTAGAAATGTACAAGAGATTGTATCCTAGTCCGAAATGACAACTAAAATTGGAAACTTTAGCGACTGATTTATATCATACAAAGCAAAATCTCCGGTTTCCCCCATCAAATGATAAATGTGGCGAATATTATTATAATTTCTAAAATATCTTTGGATATGAGAAACTTGATTAGACATTTCTTGTGGTGCTGCACCACATAAACATTCCTTGTACCTTGAATGCAAATGTGCTTGTATTTCAAAGGGAAGCATGCCACTTTCGATCTTAACTATGCCAATTAATACCCGAGGTATGAAAATTTGCAATTATTCCTATCATTGCAAGACATCTGTAACGAAGGTACTACTCATGAGTCATGATAGTTTGATCTCATTCAAAGGATATGTCAACCGACACTATTTTCGTCGCATCGTGGAAGTGGATCAACCTTCAGTGCAACTTCAACCTGCCAATAATTTTATGTCGGATAGGTTTGATTCATGTACCTACACACTTTAACTTAGTTGATTTCCTTGTGTTGATATTATACATTATCGTTCTATATCTGATAGGTTAGATCAATGTCCCGAGTCCCGACATAGTTTAACTTTGTCGATTCCTTGTGCTAATATTATACTCCCCCCGTCCCATAATATAAGACGTTATTACATCCAATATACTGACATTATTACATCTAATACACTCAGTATATTAGATGTAATAATGTCTTATATGGGACGGAGGGAGTACATTATCTATCTTGCAGTCATATTACATCAACACACTCAATAGGATATAACCATAACCGCTTAAAAACTCTACCACTGCCTTTGCAAATTGACCTGGAGATATACAAACCAAAATTACTCTCTTCCAATAATTAATATTGCTGCCTATTTGTTCTGCAGATCCATTAATATTGTATCAAGTGAATACTACCATATCAAGTACATGTCTCAATTAATACCGCATCACTAAAATTGAAGCCTTTTTCTGCACATCCGATCAAAGTGCTTCCTGCAAGCAGAATTTTGTTCACGCCATGTGCACATGGTTGCCTACTTAAGGGCCAAGTGATATGTACGTATGTGCATAATTGCTTTCCTGAAGAGCTTAATTTCATTACATAATATATATTCTCCTACTGGCTAGCAGCTGGCCGCCCGGGCTGAAGCTTGAACAGTACTCTTGTACTTCGCGGGAGAAGTACCTAGTCCTAGCGAGGTACGTATTGCATGTTCACATATACAATCGCCTTTGTGTTTCTTAACTGAAGTACTTCAGAATGACAAGACAAGATACATGTGGACACTGTTTGTCCTAATTTCTTCTAGTACAGGATGCATGTGACCTTTGAGGCTAGCTGCTGGACATGCATGCATGCAATTAATCCGTGTACAATTTCCGTGCAGAAATAGTTGATTTTACTGCTACAGCTAGCCCATAGTGCGGTGACATTTGGCCGACACACCTAGCAGGTGCAGCAGCACTCTCTGATTCATGGTAACTAAATTCCTTTATTGCAGATGCGCTGCTGCGCTCGTGAATTGGTTAGAAAACTCCATAGGTTGGTAGGAGTATGTCATATTTAATTTGACGTTTTACTCTCTAGCAGCTATACACCTGGTTTGATTTTGCGTTTGAAAACTTATGTCTTAGCAAAGCTGGTTTCCATTTTGTTGCTTCCTCCCCAACCTTTACCGCAAACAAAATTTACCAAAAAATGTCTCTATTAAATGCTTGGTACTTGGTAGCAGTAATTTACTCCTATATATATTATCTGTCTTTATGAAATGAATTATTTATTCTATGGGAAGTGTTGTGACTAATCCAGAGGTGTTTCTGTTTCATATATTAATGATTTCTAAACCATTGTCTTCAATTTGGGCCAGTGTAATGGTGATAATTAAGCTCCATTATCCTGATAATTTATGGCAACAAGACTTACTTATTTAAGAAAATTTATATTGAGTCATTGCTTATGTGCAATACAAAATAGAAAAGGTATTAGTATATTTTAAAAATGTTAAACGATGTATAGAACATTGTCAAGGGAAATATGTTGGTCTGACATCATTTATAGGTCTATCAGGGGAGGAATATTCGTTCCATTGACAATATTATTGTTTTGTATCTCAACCGGAAAACAAAAGTGGTATGTCAAGTGGAAAGGAAAATTAGTGCTCATATTCTATTATATATGGAGGATATATAGCTCTGGTCTAGATGACAGTCGACATACTATATGTGGTTAAATGCAAAAATGAAGAGTCAGTGTAAAATCTAAAATTACAAGGAGATAAACGGCTGAAAAGATTATTATTATGTACATGTTCTAATTTATGATTGTGCGGGGCTGGAAGCATGCATATGCATATACTCCCTCTGTCCGGAAATACTTGTCGGAGAAATGGATGAAAATAGATGTATCTAGAACTAAATTGCATCTAGATACATCCATTCCTCCGACAAGTATTTCCGGACGGAGGGAGTATATCTTATTAGTATCTCAGCTAACTAGGATAATTTTGTAACTATGCCACGCCTCACCAAAATTATTATTTGCACATGCTTGCTCAAACAGATAAGACTACACTCCCTTCGCTCCGCAATCGATGTTCTAGCTTTGTACCAACTCAAACTTGAAATTATATTTTACAATGGATATAATGCAACTAATTTGATGTTGTACTTGCTAATATCTTCTACATCATATATATAGTACGAAAATGTATTTTCGGATAGATCTAGTGCAACTAATTTGCTGTTGTACTTGTTGTTATATTTTTAGACTTGGTCAAACTTAAAGAAATTTGATGAGGACAAAATATAACTTCAAAGAAGTTGGAACGGTCCAGTACTGTATCCTAATCTCAAGGGAGTTAGAAAAGGGAGTACATACTGTAATACTACTCATACCCCCAAATTTATATATTTCCATTCTTCTTAGTTCTATTGAATAATTTGGAGGCTCCAAAATTTTACCTTGCTCATTTGCAGCTGGCTACCCATGTAGTGGTGGATTGCCCAAATTTCATAATTCCTTCACAAGTGGCAAAAAGAACATCATATGCAGCTTTTACAAATCGTTCAATTTGAGATTAATAAATTAACTTTCTCCTGTTATCAATTTGAAACGATACGTACAATGTTAGTGCCCCAACATGTATGACTGCGTTCAGCTTTTACAAACGATACTAACTAGCAAATCAATTATGGTCGTAAAATCATGCATAGAACTAGTACACGCAGATGCAGGTTTTCCTAACGTAATTTTTATAAAAATGTATGTTTGATGGCAATCGGTGTTTTAACTTCAACAGTGTTAACGTTATCATCAAGAAAGCAGAATTTGTTGACAAAGTTAACATACATAGTCCTTTAATCGGACGGTGATGTTACAAGATTGACACTCTAAAATTTGTCAGCTGAATAAACAAATCTTGATTATTCAAACATGAAGACTTTCTTTTACCAATCAGCGGTACCAGCTTGAGTGATTTGTGAGTATATGCATAAATATACCTAATTAATCAACCTACTCCTTTTTCAGCAGATGTCATGAGAATTTAACCCAATGCTTGTGACTTGTGAGTATATGTACCACCATGCTTTGAGGTCTAAATATGCATTGTATGAAATGAAACTATGCATAAATATATACATATTTTGATATGTATTGGTACATAAGAATTTAACTCGATCAATGCTTGTTAGTATATGTATGTAACATTGAAGCGCCGTGTTGTTAGTTAAAGCTACTCCAAGTATTAGGATCCAACAGGCAACAGGAAACTGTTCTATGAAATGAAACAATTGAAAATCAAACTCATCTGCCATTCATCAATTAAGCAATTCATTCACCAGAATAGCAGATCTGGTCGGATTCCAGTTTGACAATTATAGAATTAAGAAATGGAGATAAGAATCCACGCATGAATTACATGAATTAATCAACACAGGTTCTGGACTAGTAGTAGCTTCAACTACAATACTGCATCATGCAATGACCAAGGCAAGTTCACCGTCACAAAGTTAATTCACAAGAAAATTATTACACAAATAATCCATTGAACAAAGCAGTATGTATATAAGTGCACGTGCAAGGCGAGACAGCGGGAGTAGTTCTTGTACCGTACGCATGTCGCCGCTTCTCAGTAGGGCTGGGAGTTGGGAAACACCACTCCACCGAGCTCCCATTGCTGCTCCAGCTGATACTGGTAGTAGTTACCGCTGCTTCCGTATCCTCCATTGCCGAAGCCAGCCATGATCGCTTCGCTCGGCATGGACGACGAGCACCCCTCCTCCAATTCAGCTCTTGCTGTGTTCATGGACGAGGAGCGACTGATCAAATTGTTCGGCCTCGTGACGAACTCGTCCGCCCTCGCCGCCGCCATGCCGGTGGCTGCCGGCTCGATGTTAATTGTGGACGCGAGCGTCACCCATCGCATCCGGTTCTTTTCCCTAGTCCGCTCCCTCGCCCTCTCCCGCGCCTTCGTCCTCGACTCCTTGTCGGGGATCGGGTGCGCACTGGCCAATTTCCTTTGCGGCTTTGGTTTGGCGGGTGCCCTTCTGGCTGCCCTTGGCACCTGCTTCTTCCCCTCGCCGTGATCACCACCTTCAGCCTCCGTCCCTGGCGGCTTGTGCTTGCCGTCGACGACGGAGAGGCTGCTGGAGCCGTCCTCCTCGCAGTCGGAGGACGCCTCGTCAGTCATGACCTCCCTGATGGCGCCCTTTGACGTATTGAGGAGCCATTGCACCGTCTTGCTGGCCTTGTCGAAGCCGAGCATGTCCTGGAGCGCGAAGAACTTGCGGGCGACGTCGAGGGAGAGCCGCATCCGCCGGTCCCTCATCCCGCCGGCGGTGCATATCTTGCTGTGCCGGTCTTTCCTGGCCGCGGCGGCCGCCGCGCTGTCGAGGCCTCCACCGCCGTGCAGGCCTTGTGCGGTTCCAACACCGTCTGCCCTTGGCGCCGGAGCCTGATCCATCAGCAGCAGCTCCGGCGGCGACTGGTTGTCGATCTCGGCCGCGGGCGGCGTGGGCGTCGCGGCACCGGCACAGAGGTAGCTGTGGTGGAAGGAGTCGGCGGCAAATGCAGGGGAGGAATGGTAGTAGAGCAAGGATTGGTGATCCGGCGCCTTTGGCGAGGGAGGGCTGATCTGCAGCTGTTGGTAAAGGGGCAAGTCCATGGGGCTAGGGGAATCATAGAAAGGAAACATGCTTTAGTGATGGGACTCTAAGACCCCTGAGACCTCCCGTCCCTAGGCCCTCGGAAGAAGAGCAACTGCTAGCTGCGCGCTTCTACTGTGTGTGAGAGAGGCGTGTGGCTGTGGCCTAGGAGCTATTATCAGCTGTGTCCGGCCATGCATAAGCCGCTCTTCACGCTTGTGTGTCTCTGTGTGCAAGAGAGAAAGAGAGAGATGGTGAAAGAGGTCTAGGACTAGGAGGAGATAAATCTCTCATGGGAGTTGCAGAGGGGCGATGAGGAGGAGGGGCACTGGTACCTAGCTCATCCCGAGTTCACACACACACACACACACACACACACACACATCATGGGCTCCTCTGTAGGAGGGCTAGCTAGCTAGCGAGAGAGTGCTTGTGGTTAGAGGGATGGATGGATGCCTAGAATATTGGATGTGATACTCTCCCTACTTGAGATTGAGAGGGGTGTGCCATCTTATAGTTAGAGAGGGAGGGTCTGAGTGTGGTGTGTGGATGAGTTGATAGGGAGAGAATACAAGGCAGAAGAAGGACACTAGTGGTGGAAAGGGCATGTGTGCATGTTGGAATGCTATTGGCTACTAGTGACCTAGGGCATTTATTGGCAGAAGACCCGAGGGTGGTGACCAGCCATGGCCGTGTAGGTTGGACGCCTTTGTTCCTTGGAGCCCCTTCTTTGGGAAACGAATGACCTTGTTTTTTTGTATCGGCACTTCTGCACAGGAATTCGCCTACCCGGTATACATTGAACGTTGTTGGGGTATGGATCAGACAACGGAACCAAAGAACTATTTGGTAGCTACTCTGGGGACCGAGGTCATATGGGAGACGGGACCTTTCTGAGTTGGGATAAGTACTACACTCTCGTTTTTGAAAACATACCGTTCGACTTGACCAAATTAATCTCTACCTTTCGATCTGCGGCTAAAAGAAGTTACTAGGACCAGAACGAGCAGGTCGACCCGTATTTGGTTGCCCAAGGTTGTAGTAGCCTTTACGCATACCATAGATTCTCCAAAAAAAAAACATAGCGAAAAGGAGGAAAATCCCCGGCCTCTGCATCTGGGATCCGACCATGTAGATTCTCCAAAAAGAAAACATAGCCAAGCCGACTAGCCGTCACCACACTGCGAGATGTGATTCCAACGTCGGCAAGGGTACGTAGCCCGCCCGCCGCGCCGCCGGACCACACGTAAACCCAGCGCATCCTCGCAATCCAGTCGTCCCGTGCCGGTGAAGATGCTCGAAGGGGAAGAAGTCCTGCCGCCGCCCTGCTAGCCAGGCATTGCCTGGTGGCGCTGAGGATGGCGGCGAGGAGGGTGGGAGGTGGGAGGGCTCGAGGGGGAGGGCGGCTAGGGCTTCCCCCCGGGTGGCCCACAGGTGGGTCCCGAGAGGGACGGGGGTATATGACTGCTAAAATTGCGGTTAGAGAAGGTGGTGAGCCTTGTTTTTATAATTTTTTCGAAGTATTGGTTCAAATTGCCTTTGTTCTAGAGTTACAAATATTCTAACGTGTTCATTATAGAAATGTAGATGAGGCCGCGTATACTGATGGATTATGGATGGGTTTAGGCCCATATAAGACAATAATTCCTAGTTAATCTCTAAGGCCCATGCATGTGTACGGCAAGTGGTGGGAAGTGTGGGAAGTTTAGTCCCATACTGCTACAGTAAGAAGAGTGAGACCTCTTTATACGGTCTGCTCTACCACTTGCTATTGGGAGCTTGGGAATAGGAGTTGTACACGCACGCTCCTTCTCCTCCGCGCCCGCCTCGCCACGGCACGCCTCGTCACGACGCACGCACGCCGCGGGTTGCGGGAATGAGCCGAGCCGCTCCCGGTCCGTCCCCAGCTCCGTCCACCTCTGCTTCCAGTACTTCCCCTACGTCAACACCATGGCCGCCGCCGCCTAGAAGAAGGCCACGGACGAAACCGAGGTTGCTGCTGCCGCCGCCGCGTTGGCCTGGCCAACCGGAGGATATGATCTGTTCATCCCTCATTTACTCGTGCTTGTGCTAGGCGTATATGTGCTGCTCATAGATGGTTTGCTTGTATGTTCTGTACGTGCTAGTATGCTTAGGAATCGATATGAATTGCATACCATATTTTCCATGCTTACTGTTTACTCGTGGATTAGTCTAATTGGAAAAGTGCTAATATTTCTAAAAATCCAAAAATCTTATTTTAGGCACTTTTCTACTCATGGCTTTGCCGCTACTCTAAAACCAGAAAAGTTTACTGGAACGCATTTTAAGCATTGTCAGACTAGGACCACCTTGTGGCTCACGGCAATGAACGTGTTCTGGGTTGGTGGTGTGTCTCCCACGATAATGATTTCTCCTGAACAGGAGAATGTGTTTAGGGAGGCAACCATATGCGTGTTGCCAAAAACTTGTGGGATGCGCTCGAAGCTATGTTCCGCGCAACCGATGCTGGGAGTGAACTGTATGTCATGGAGCAGTTCCATGATTACAGGATGGTTGATAACCGTTCGGTATTGGATCAGGCTCATGAGATACAGTCACTATTAGAAAAAGACCCATTTGTCCCAGTTCATAAGGACCATTTGTCCCGGTTCCCGGACCAGGACTAAAGGGTCGGTACTAAAGCCCATTACCCTTAGTCCCGGTTCGCCTATGAACCGGGATAAATGGGGCTCCATGTGGCCGCTGCGGATTGCCCAGGCAGGAGGGCCTTTTGTCCCGGTTGGTAGCACCAGCCGGGACCAAAAGG